TATAATTTTAATTAATAAATAAAAATTTCTTGATTTAATCTAGTTTGTAATTATTATATTTAATTATTAAATTTGGTTTGGGCCAGCCCAGCTTAGCCTGTAATTATAAAATTTTAAATCCAGCCCGGCCTGCAATTACAAAATTTAATTGTTAAACCCGGCCTGGCCCACAAACCGGGCCAGGCTGAGCTTTGGGACCCAATGCAGGTCTCTATTTCTGGGCATGAAATTCTTCATTAGTCAACACATCAAAATCTTGAGATCTATACTGAAAAAATGGTTCATCAAATGTTTAAGAGCAAAAAAAAGAAATTACAATATGAAATTGGTAATCTTGTACAAGTAGCTATCCTTAAAATAGATAGATTTAGCATTGATTGACCAAATCTTCCTGCAAAATACTTGATAAAACTGAAAATGATAAATACCAGTTAGGGTTCAAATTTGGCATCATCGATGATTTTTATTCTGCTAGTAAATTAGAGCCATTGGACACCACTAATTTCTCTGAACTTGATACTATTTCATCCAACAAAATATCAACCAAAGAAGCAGGATGGCTCCAAAGTGCAGGTTCATCATGTGCAATATGTAGTTGCAAATCTGCTGTAAAAAAAGTGGTGGTAAATGTGGCAGTAGAAGTCATAGTAGACATTCATGTAAGAATAAAGATTTGGTTGTATGTGATTAATGAGAAGAAAAATAGGAATTAGAAATGATTGGAAATCAATTGTCAGTATAATATGACCGAATTAGGTGATCGATCACATATTTGTTTTTAGGTTTAGATTAGTAGACTTAGTAGATTTAGTAGATCTAGGATATTTAGTAGATTTAGGATATTTTGTAGATTTAGCATAATTAACATATACGGCATAATTAGCATATTTAGCATATAGTTAGATAGTATATATATACGGCATTTAGTATTATGTAAAGTTAGTTCTCCTAGACCCATGTTAATAATAAACAACTTACCCGGCCAAATCCACGCCTCTTTTAAGGGTGGTATAAAATCGTTTATTATATTTGGTAGTTAGACTGTGAGATATGATGCCGCAATACTGTGTGATTGCACAAAAACTGGAACCTGTGTGATTAAATGTTGAAGCTTAAACTCTGTGTATCTTAGACAAATTGAAACCCTGTGATTGAAGTCTAAACTCAATGAAAAGTTTAAACTCGTGTGTATTAACATTGAATCCGAAACTCCGTGTAATCGAACGTTGAAGTCCGAAACTTGCGGAACCAAAGGTGCCAAGTATTGAAAGTGTAAATCGATTAGTAACCAAAAAAAAAAAAAAAAAGTCGAATACTTCAAAGCAAAAGAGCCCCAGCAAAGTTTCTGGAAAAATTATTTTGGATAAACGCAGACTCTGATATATTAAAAATTAATTTAATAAACTCTCAATTGTGTAATTAAGTATAATTTAATAAACTCTCAATTGTGTAATTAAGTATAAATAAATTAGTAATTAGTCGATTGCTAAAAAGTGAAAAAAAAATTTTTTAATTAATTAATGAAGTAAAGAACACTTTGGAACTGGAGGACGAAGGATGGAAGACCAGGAAAGTATAGTGTTACTAATAAAAATGATCGTAGAGGTAATAGACAAATTAGTAAAGGATGTCAAAATGCTACAAGCTGAACAACGACGTCTCAAGCCCTTAAAGCTTGGAAAAAGAAATTGGATAACGAAGAATGTGAAATAGGGTATGTGGAATTAAAAAAAAAACCAATAGAAAAGAATGGACATTACTGCTGTGGGCCTCGTATGTCGTCAAAAGAGACATTTGGCTTGTTCGTGTTCAGAAAATCAAGATCATAATAATCGCACGAATGCTAAGTGTGTGGAAGTACGTTGTGTAGATATTGTGGATGATAGGTCTATTTTGGGTAAGATGACGAAATATCAAGTAATGCTTGGAGGACATTTTGATGGAATCAGCAGTAAAAGGAGGTCAGATGGTCGAAAAGAATGTGAATTGGTGAACGTTAGGCATGTTAAAGGCGAATTGATGAAATATGATGATGTTGATGATAACATTGTAGATGTCGGTAATAAGAAAAAAAATAAGATCGTTAATATGTTGAATAACAGAAAAACGAATTAAATAAAAAATAAAAAATCGATAAACTACCTGTGGAACTCAATAGTAAAAGGGATGACTCAAATATATTAAAAACAGAAGTTGATATTGAAAAGAAGTATAAAGCACCCATTTATTATCAAAGATCCACTGCGATGAGTTATATTGGTGAAGCATCGATTATCGGTCGTTGTCGAAGCGGGATTGGTGATAAAGAGAATAAACGTGAAACATTCAATTATTATCAGAAGTCTGCTAATAAGGGACATAATGATGGAACAAACATGGTTGGAAACTACTATAAATATGGAACTAGTGGAAAAAAAATCTACGGAAAAAGATTCTAGTAATATGTATTGTATTAGCACACATTATGAAATTGAAGATGGAGCTGTGAAGGGTGTGAAGGAGACGTTTGAACAATATTCAAAATCAGCTAAAAAGGAGGATTGTAAGGCATTCGAACGTTGTGAAAAATCAGCTGATATAGATGGTGCTGATGAAACATATGCTGTCAGATATTGTTATCAATATGGAATCGGAATCGGAAGAGATGATTATAAAACATCCATTTATCAGGAACCAGGTAATAGTCATCAAAATGAAACCAAAATCAAAAGGAATGGATCTCATACAAATGACAAAGACTTGGACTATGCGTGTGAAATATGAATGAAAAAGTTTAACGAATTCTGAAGAAAGGTCGAATGGAATAAAGATGATGAAACAAAAGAATGTATGGCATTTAGCTATTATCAAAAGTCTGCTGAGCAAGGTGATGCCAGTAAAACATACAAGGCTGAGTATCAGGATAAAAGTGGAATAAACTTAATTGGTCTATTCCAAGAGTGCTTTAATGCATTTGAACTTTCAAAATATATTATATATATTACATTAATATCTTGGTATAATTAAGTTCTGCATATCTTCAAGAAAGAATGCAACGATTAAATTACTATTTTCTCATACATATGATCTAGATAAACAATCCGATTAAATTTATATATTCTTTTTGCCATGCTTTCAAAATTCATGACAAACCTCAATACAGATATATTCTATTTTCTTCAAACATCTATACAGTAATAATATATATATATAAATTACTAACGAATATAAAAAACTCTTTAAGCAGAATTCCAGTCATATAAATCATATTCGTCTTGCCGGTTTAATTCATTTTTGAGAGTAGAAATATTCTGATAATTTGATAATTTTGTAAATAAAAAATGTATAGTAATTTGAGTACACATGTTAACAAATAAAAAAATGATCACATACCTTTCTATTTTATAGTCTGTTTTATTTTCATTGTCGTCTTTTCCGAGGATCAGCTATCATAAACTTTGTTACTTGACTCCTCATCTTTTCCGAGGATCAACCATCATAAACTGTGTTACTTGACTCCTCGACCGCGATTTATGAATTATCGAAGTTTCCAATTGATTATACAAAACAATAATTAATAATTAAACCAAATATAAAAAAATTAGAATAAAGGATATAAAAAGTAAAAGAATTCTATACTTTTAGAGTGACCTTTCCACTTGAATCCGGTCCAGATTCATAGCGTCTGCCTCGAACACACAGCGACACTTGAAAGAGAATCCAGCCCAGATTCGTAGCGTCTGCCCCAAACACAGTGTCGCAAGACCACTTTTGAGTGACACTTGAAAGAGAATCCAGCCCAGATTCGTAGCATTTGCTCCGAACACACAGCATCGCAAGACCGCTTTAACAGACTTACATTTGAGCGACACTTTTGTTGCATGATGCGGCACTTAAAAGAGAAAATCCAGCCCAGACGTAGCATCTGCCCCGAACACACAGCGTCGCAAGATCGCTTTAACAGACTTATATTTGAGCAACACTTTTGTTGCACAACACGGCACCTTTGAAAGAGAATCCAAACCAGATGTAGCGTCTGCCCAAACACAGCATCACAAAACCACCTTAACGGACTTACATTTGAGCAACACTTTTGTTGCTCGACGCAGCACTTGAAAGAACGAAGGTTTTTTATTTATTTTCTATTTCGTATTGTATAGAATCTATCTTATTTATACTAAGTACATTATTACTTTATTATTGCAGGTGAAACTAATCTTCAATGGTGCACCAGTTTCACCTGGTGCACCGATGGTGAAACTAGAGTTATTGATGAAACTAATCTTCAACGGTGCACCGATGGTGCACCAGTTTTCTGGTGAAATGAATTAGTTTCATCTTATTTATACTACGTACTTTATCAAACTAACACTATCGCTATAATAGACTCTACATGAAAGTTTACGGATCTATTCCAAGCCACCAACTAATTTCTTGTTTCACGTGATCAATTCGCAAGTTACAGTAAACTGATTAATAGCTGAACAACTTCAATTATCTTAATAAGCAATTTACTTCTAGAGTTCCTTCTTACCTATATTATTTTAATTTAAATATCAGGTATTATGTGTGTGTCTAGCCTAGAGTTGCAGGTGAAACTAATCTTAGTTATAGATGAAGCTAATCTTCAACGGTGCACCAGTTTTCTGGTGAAATGAATTAGTTTCACCAGAAACTCTAGTCTAGCGGATGAATAATACGATAGCAGATAGATTATCGAATCAATTAGAGTAATAAGATACGCGTCGTTAGGGTGGGGTCTCAACTAATTAAATCAAAACAGGGTAATATATGAAGATCGGATTTTTTATAGGTCGTGTATTTAAATATTAAATTAAATTACATTTATTAGCATAACTATCAAACAAAAGTATATATAATTTTTTTTTTAACTTGAAGCTCTCAGCTAGCTCTACATGGTAATAGAGCTATTTTTTCAATTTTTTTTAAAAAAAATTTTGTAAAACTTAATTAATTTTTTAATATTCAATATCGAAAAAAGTAGCTCTATTACCATGTAGAGCTAGTTGAGAGCTTCAAATTAAAAAAAATTATATACATTTTCGTTAGATATTTGTGCTAATAAATGTAAATTTAGTTTTATAATTATTTTGATGAATGATAATATCGAAATTTAACATTAATAAATCCGAACTTAATATTACCCCGACTATGTTTGATTTTATTAGTTGAGGCCCACCCTAACGCGTCGTTAAAATGCAGTTGAGCTATGTGAGCAGAATTTAATGTAGGTATAAATTACTGTATCTTTTTTTTTTCTATTTGTTACAACAATTTTCATGTTTTCCCTATTCACTATTGTGGTGCACGCAATATGTATTGGAACTATAGTAATGAAATCTACGTATCATAACTCATAGTATAAGGTTTTGTTACAAAAATTTACAAGTCGATTTTGAATCTTTAGACCAGGTAATAGCATTTATTTATATTTTTTTTAAAACGTTCACAATATGTTATTAATTGTAAAAATTTCCGCCTCAATCTCACTATGATTTTATTTTATTCGTGATAATTTATTTAGTATTTGAGATCTTTTATTATGTACTTAAATAAACTAGTCAGGTTCATAGTTAATTTCTTATTTATTCACGTTGATCTATTTAAAGGTTTAGGGGTTGGAGTAGGTGTAGCTTTGGTTGTTTTAGGAGTTGGGGCAGGTGGAGGCTGTTTAGGAGTTGGGGCAGGTGAAATTTTCTTCACCACCAGTCTGCAATATGGGTGGATGGGCGTGATAAAACCTTGATCAACCCTTCTTCGTGTTGCAAGATACGATCATCGAAATTACAAGTTTCGTCGCCGAAATCTACCCCAACTTTATATAATTCCGGATGATCTCTAATGTCTAATTTTTTTTTTTTTTTATTTATCAAGGGAGGTCTTTCCTCTAGTTCTTTATTAGATAAAATTATGAATTATAACAGAGTTAAAATTGAAATTTT